TTTCAAGCCATGAAGACTGAATCTGTCAAAATCCTAACAAGAAATTGTCAACAAATATGGAAAAACAAAACAATGGCCTACAGACTGGAAATGTTCAACATACAACACAATCTTCAAGAAAGGAGATGCCAAGAAAGGAGATGCAGTCACTACAGGATCGATAGTCTATTTCTCACACAAGTAAGTGATGCTGTGTTTTGTGGAGCAAGAAATGCCAATGGTTAAGCCAGATTCTGAAAAGAAAAAGATACTTGAGATCTAATTGCAAATATCCGTGTGCTCCAGAAATTTTCCAAAAAAGATAGACTCCAGTCAAGCCTGGACTGAATGGAGCATGAAGAGCTGTGGGTTGCTCTGAAAGAAATGGGCACACCTCAGCACTTGATTGTTCTGATCCAGACCCTGTGTTGTGGACAGAAAGCTACTGTGAGGACAGAATACTGAAAGACAGATGGGTTCCTATAGGCCAGTGATGGCAAACCTTTTGAGCTTGGCGTGTCAGCATTTTGAAAAACCCTAACTTAACTCTGGTGCCGTGTCACATATAGAAATTTTTTGATATTTGCAACCATAGTAAAACAAAGACTTATATTTTTGATATTTATTTTATATATTTAAATGCCATTTAACAAAGAAAAATCAACCAAAAAATGAGTTCGCGTGTCACCTCTGACACGGGTGTCATAGGTTCGCCATCACTGCTATAGGCGAAGTGTCAGACAAGAGTGCATTTTATCTCCCTATTTGTTTAATTAGTATGCTGAACGTCTATACTAATAAAAGCTTAACTGGTCCTCGCGCCCTTGCGCGACGCCCTCACGTCATCACAAGATGGCCGCCCTCACGTCATCATAAGATGGCCGCCACAGGATGGCCACCACAAGATGACCACCACAAGATGGCCGGCAGGGAAGGGCAGTTGTGGGCAATCAAGCCGGCAGGGGAGGGCAGTTGGGGGGCAAACAGGCCAGAAGGGGAGGGCAGTTGGGGGTGATAGGGCCAGCAGGGGAGGGCAGTTGGGGGCGACCAGGCTGGCAGGAGAGGGCAGTTAGGGGCATTAGTTAGGCAGGCAGTTGAGTGGTTAGAAGCCAGTGGTCCTGGATTGTGAGAGGTATGTCTAACTGCTGGTTTAGGCCTGATCCCACAATGATCGGGTTAAACCAGCAGTCAGACATCCCCCAAGAGGTCCCAGATTGGAGAGAGTGCAGGCCAGGCTGAGGGACACCTCCCCTCTCCCATGCACGAATTTCATGCACCGGGCCTCTAGTGATGAAATAAATCTAACAGAATTATTACTAGCAAGGAGATTGAATCAATAACCAAAACCCCCCAACAAAAAAAATCCAGAACCAGACAGTATCACTGGGAATTCTACCAAACATTCAAAGAATCAATACTAAGCCTTTTCAAACTCTTCCATAAATAAAAGAGAAGGTAACTCTTCTAAACAAATTTAAGAGGCAAGCATTACCCTGATAAAAAACCAGACAATGATCACACACACACACACACACACACACACACACACATTACAAGCCAATATCACAAATGAACATAAATGCAGAAATCCTCAACAAAATATTAGCAAACTGAATGAACAAACTGAATTATTTTAATGATGATTAAAAGGATCATATGCCATCATCAGGTGGGATTTATTCCAGGGATGCAAAGATGATTCAACATCTGTAAGTCAGTTAATGTGATACACCACATTAAGAAAATAAAGGATACAAATCATATGATCATCTCAATAGATGCAGAAAAAGCATCTGACAAATTCAACATCCATTTATGATAAAAATTAAAACAATAAATAAAATGGGTGAAGGAAAGTTGCTCAAAAAAATAAAGGCTATATATGACAAGCCCACAGCTAACATCATACTCAAAGGTGAAAATCTGAAAGCTTTCCTCTAAGATCAGGGACAAGACAAAAATGTCCACTCTCACCACTTTTATTCAACATACCATTGGATACCCTAGCCAGATTAATGAGGGAGGGAGGGTGAAAAGGAGCGAGTCCATGCAAAGGAATCCATAGTGAAAAGGAAGATGTAAAGTTTTCACTATTTGAAGATGACATTATATTATACTAGAGGCCCGATGCACGAAGATTCATGCAAGAATGGGCCTTCTTTTCCCTGGCTGCCGGCACCACCTTCACTCCGGCTGGAGCCGCCTATTCGCCTTCACTCCGGCCCAGAGCTGCTTTTCCACCTTCCCACGCTGCCCAGAGGCCCAGAGAGGCTGGGGCGGTGCGGAACGCCTGAGTCGTCATCATGGCGATGACGCAAGCGTCCTGCCCCACCACCTGGCCGCTCAGCGACTGCACACGTGTGCGCTGCCCACAGGCCCGCCATCTTTGTCGGGTTAATTTGCATACTCACTCATGATTGGATGTGGGATATCTCGAAGGTATGGTCAATTTACATATTTGTCTATTATTAGTGTAGATATCAAAAACCCCAAAGACTTTAACAAAAAACTGTTATAATTAGTAAGCAAATTCAGTTAAGTTGCAGGATACAAAAATGAATACGAAAGTCTGTTGCTTTTCTTTACTCTAATAAGAAACTCTCAGAAAGAAAAATTAGGAAAACAATCCCACTCACAATTGAGTCAAAGGGAATAAAATACAAAGAAATAAATTTAAGCAAGGTGGTGAAAGACCTGTATATTGAAAACAATAAGACATTAAATGAAAACAACAAAAACACAAGACATTAAATAAATGGAAAGCTATTCCGTGCTCATAGATTGAATTAATATTGTTAAACTGCCCATACTACCTAGAGCAATATATAGATTCAATGCCATGTCTATCAAAATTCCAAAGGTATTTTTCACAGAAGTAGAACAAACAATCCTAGAATTTGTATGGAACCACACATGTTCACACACACACACACACACACACACACACACACAACGCCTACTATCCAAAGAAATCTTGAAAAAGAACAAATCTGGAGTCATCACACTCCCTAATTTCTAATTATAATACAAAGCTATAGTAATCAAAACAGTATGGTATAGGCATACAAAACAGGCACACACATAAATGGAACAGAATAGAGAATCCAGAAATAAACCAACACATATATGGTGAAATAATTTATGGCAGTGCAGCCAAGAATTTACAATAGGGAAAGGACAGTTTCTTCAATAATGATGTTGAAAAAAATGAATAGCTACATACAAAAGAATGAAACTGGGCCGATTTCTTACTCCATATGCAAAAATTAACTCTGAACAGATTAAAGACTTGAATGTAAGACCTGAAACCATAAAGACCTGAAACATGGCAGTAAGCTACTTGACATAGGTCTTGCTGATTATTTTTGAATCTGAAACCAAAAGCAAAAGCAACAAAAGCAAAAATAAACAAGTGAGACTGTATCAAATAAGAAGTTTCTGCACAGAAAAGGAAACCATCAACAAATGAAAGGTGGCCTACTGAATGGGAGAAAATAATTGCAAATAATATACTTGATAAGGGGCTAATATCTAAAATACATAAAGAACTCATACAACTCAGTAACAACAACAACAACAAAACCCCTAAATATCCAATTTAAAAAATGGGCAGAAGATGTGAATAGACATTTTTTTTCCCAAAGACATACAGATGACAAACAGGTACATGCAAAGATGCTCAAAGTATTAATCATCAGAGAAATGCAAGTCAAAACCACAATGAGAGATCATCTCGCACCTTCTAGAATGGCAATTATGAAAAGACAAAAAATAACAAGTGTTGGCAAGAATGTGAACAAAAGGGAACTCTTCTACACTTACATTCCTGCTGGGAATGTAAATTGGTGTAAATTATAAAGAGAACTACCATATGATCCAGCAATTCCACTTCTGTGTATTTACCAGAAGAAAATAAAAACATCAATTTGAAAAGATATCTGCACTCCCATGATCATTGCAACATTATTTACACTAGCCAAGATATGAAAACAACCTAAGTGTCCATTGCTGGATGAATGATAAAGAAATTGTGGTATACACACACAAACACAGAAGTATTATTTAGCCATAAAAAATGAAATCTTGCCATTTGCAACACCATTAATGGACCTTAAGGGCATTTTGCTAAGTTAAATAAGTCAGGTAGGTAAAAAATGAAAAATATCACATAATTTCACTGGTATGTGGAATTTACTCCACTCCCCCAAAATAAAAACAATCAAGCTCATCAAAGGAACAATGACCTCGGCCAGCACTTCCATCTGGGAGAAACCTGCCCCTCCAGCTCTTGCCCTAATGTCAAACAATTCAGTTCTTCCCTGTATGTCTCTGATGCCTTTCAGACTGCTGCCCCAGCACCAAAGTTCAGAGGGAGCGAGTTCCAGGAAGTGCATGCATGGGCCCTTTAAGTGGAACTGCCTGGGCTTTCAGCAGCTGCAGCCTCAGCCTCAGCCTCAATCCATGCTGGTTTTTACAGCCAGTAGTTATGGAGACTTCTCTTCCTGACACTGGAACCCTGTGTGGGACCTGGTGTGCGACTGGGACACCTTGCTCCTCAAGGGGGGCGGGGGAACGTGGGGAGGGAAGACCTATGTACCCTAGATATCCCTCCTGATTTTTATCCACCACACGTGAATGTGGGACCAGGCCACCCCTCCTATCAGTCTTGATGTGGCTTCCTTTTTGATTCCCTAGTTGTAGGATTTCCATTCAGCCAGATTTCAGGTGCTTTTGAATGATGGTTGTTCTATAGTTTGGTTGTAATTTTGATGTGGTTGTGGGAGGAGATGAGTACCATGTTTACCTACAATGCTATATTGACAGGAAATCTATCCTCAAACATCTTAAAAGAACAGTCTTGATTGACATTCCTCTTGTTATTCTTGATCTCCTGTGACTTGGCTCTCATTTCTATGACTTTATATTGCCAAATTCTTCTGTGATTTCTAGGATTGCTGTTCTCCATTTTCTTGACTGGTTTTCCTTACTCTTCATGGTCTTCCAAATGCAATGCTTAGTCTCATGGGTTGAATTATGTCCTTCCAGAAAGATATGCTGAAGTCCTAACCCCAGTACCTCAGAATGTGACCTTATGTGTATAAGGTCATTGCAGATGTAATTAGTCACACTAAAGCAGAGTGGGCCCTGATCCAATATGATTGGTGTCCTTATAAGAAGATGGCCATTAAAGATAGGGGCACTCAGGGAGAATGCCATGTGACAAAGGAGGCAGAGATTAGGCTGTAAGCCAAGAGACACCAGAAACTGCTGGCTACCCCCAGAGCTAGGAGAAGACACAGAAGGATTTCCCTATAGGTTTTAGAGGAATCATGGCCCTGCTGACACTTTTTTTTCAGACTACTAAACTTGGGAACTGTGAGACAATACATTTTTTGTCTGTTTAAGCCATCTACTTTGTGATATTTTGTTAGAGTAGTCCTAAGAAACAGATGTACCCACACATGTGCTTGGGGTCTTTTCTCCTCTACTCCCACCACTAGGATAACTTCATCTATCCCCTAGTTTCAGAGTATTCCACAAAATGTATTCTACCCAGCACTCCCACCTGAGCCCCAGATTCACACTGAGCTGTCTCCTGGACCTCACCTGGATGTACTATAAGCATCTCAATCTCAATCTGTCTACAACTGTATTCACCGAACTGTCCAACTTCCCCTCTTGCCTTCACTATCCATGATTTCCATCTCACTTGAAGAGCATCACAGACACTGCTCCCCCATCCTGAAGCCTAAAACGGCCTCTCTTTTCTGTCCCCACTGCCATTATTTCCAGGGCGGGCCCACAACTGTTCAACCACACTAGCCTCCAATGCTGCTCCTTGAACTTGTCACAAAGGTTCCTCATCCAGGGGCTCTGTACTGGTTACTCCTTCTGCCTGAAGTATTTTCCTCTAGAAACCTACATGGCTAAATCCCTCAACTTTATTCAAGTTTTTGCTCAAATGTTACCTTTTAAACGAGGCCCCAATCACCCATGACCCTATCACTCCTGATCCCATTGGCCTATGGCAGTGGTCGGCAAATTCATCAGTCAACAGAGCCAAATATCAACAGTAGAACGATTGAAATTTCTTTTGAGAGCCAAATTTTTTAAACTTAAACTATATAAGTAGGTACATTGTTATTAACTTAATTAGGGTACTCCTAAGGCTTAGGAAGAGCCACACTCAAGGGGCCAAAGAGCTGCATGTGGCTCGCAAGCCGCAGTTTGCCGACCATGGGCCTATGGTATTAACACTTTCTAAAAGAACATTTAATCCACTTGCCTTACAGCCTGCTTACTTATTTAGTACTAGAGGCCTGGTGCACGGAATTTGTACACTCGAAGAGGGGGTCCCTCAGCCCAGCCTGTGCCCTTTTGCAGTCCAGGAACCCTCAGGGGATATTCAACTGATGGCTTAGACCTGCTCCTCCTGAGCGCTGCCTTGGAGATGGGAGTGCACTTACCACCAGGGGGCAGCTCCTGCATTGAACGTCTGCACCTGGTGGTCAGTTCACATCATAGCAACCAGTCGGTCCACTGTTTGGTCAATTTGCACATTAGCCTTTTATTATATAGAACTAGAGGCCTGGGGCACAAAATTTGTGCACTGGGGGGGGGTGTCCCCCAGCCCAGCCTGCACCCTCTCCAATCTGGGACCCCTTGGGGGATGTTCGACTGCCGGCAGTCGGACATCCCTCTCACAATCCGGGACTGCTGGCACCCAACCACTCACCTGCCTGCCTGATTGCCCCTAACCACTTCTGCCTGCCAGCCTGATCACCCCCTAACCACTCCCCTGCCAGGCTGATTGATGCCTAACTGCTCCCCTGCCAGACCAATTGCCCCCAACTGCCCTCCCCTGCCAGCCTGGTCACCCCAACTGCTCTCTCCTGCCAGCCTGGTTGCCCCTAACTGCCATCCCCTGCTGGCCATCTTGTGGCGGCCCTCTTGTGACCACAGGGGGGCGGCCATCTTGTGCGATGGCATGACAGTCAATTTGCATATTACCACTATATTATATAGGGCTAGAGGCCCGGTGCATAAAATTCAAGCACTGGGGGGGGGGGCCCTCAGCCCATCCTGCCCCCCCC